TGTGAGAGTGAATGAATAGTGGCCTTGTAAAGCGCTTTGGGTGCCTTGAAAAGCGCTATATCCAATCCATTATTATTATTAATAGAGGTATTTCAAGTGAGCACTAACCAGTTGAAGGAGGGTCTCTCGTGGAATGTCTTGAATGGGCTCCCTCAGCTGACATAGTGCATGGATAGAAGTGCCATAACAGCTTGGCAGGTAGTTTCCTGTCACAGAGATAAAATAGTCCTTGCCCCGCTCTAGATGGAGCACCAGGATGTCTTCAATCTCCTGCTTGCCAGAGTTAAGCTCAGGTGCTGTTGTGCGATTTACGAAAACCTCAAGGTCAATATCCACAGAACCACCTAGATATTTAGAGGGAAGCGCAAATTAAAGAGAAGGCTGCTCCAGTCAGTTGTTATGTTATACTGTGGTCATAACAAGCAATTATGACGTAGTACTCTTTGAGGATTTCAAAGACACTATAATAAGCATAATCTGTCAGTTCAAAGGAGTCTGCCACTTAAATCCAAGTCAGTCTCTTTCTATATGACCAGGCTAATGGATTAATGTTTTATTAAAATTAAATTTGTTGGTTTTACACAACGATGATATGTCACTCACCCTGAGCAATAAAGCCTTTGGGGGGGTTGGCTGTGAGCCAGAGCTTGCTGTATGTGAACTCATTCGGCTTTGGAATAAACTCAAACTGACATGGGACCTGCCCGTCATTCAAAAGGCTCAACGTCTCTGCCTGGTGCTGCATGAACTTCACGTCCTTGAAGTGGAACTGAGACAAAAGAAAAGGGAAAAAAAAGCAGATTTATGAGGCAAGATAAACAAAAAAAGTTTTTTTCCTTCAGATCATGTGAAGCTATTGTATCCTTTGAATGTCTGCATATTGCACTCTTTCATTATTTTTATTATTACGTATTTTAATTTAATGCCAGGGAGAATCGTAAGGTGAAACTTTACCTCTCGCTTGGACAAGGTTACAGATGGAATGCACTCATTCTCCATTTTGTCAATATCACGAACAATTTCTTCAAAGGTCTTCTTATAATCCTCACTATTTATCCTCTTGATCTGTAGGATGAAGAAAAACAGGATTAAGTAAAAGCAAAGAAATAATGTATACTTAAAAAAAGCCACAGAATAAATAAATAAATAAATAAATAAAAGCTCTTCAGCTAAATCATTTACCTCAATGATGAGCAGGGAGCTGACAGGTTTGTGGTCACTGGTCTTCAGAGTCATGTGACTCTGGTAATGCTGTTGCTTTATGTTCTTTCCTCTCCACAGGATACGATCGCACCACGCAGGGACACGACATTTTTCACTAAGTTCAAAATAAATGGCAAACATTAGTTCCCAAGTGTCTATTTTATTACAAAGCAATAAAACAATGAAGGCAGGAATTATCTCTGACTCCATTTATCCATTATCAAAATTAATGACACAATCCCTGCAGGGAGATTCTCTTGTGAGGTGTTGCAAGAGTACTGAATATTACACAACAAAGCTCACAGTTCAGGGCCACATCGGATGGCTAAACCAATTTATAAAGGACACTGATGCAAATGAGATGTTGTAGTTTTTTTCCTTACATTGCCCAAGTCAATTCTTAGGCAATGTAGCTCTTGTACACACACACACACACTCGCTGGCCACTTTATTAGGTATACATATTCAACTGCTTGTTAACGAAAATATCCATTCAGCCAATTACAGCAGCTCAATACATTTAGGCATTTACAAGCTTATAACACGCATCAGAGTATGGGAAAAAGGTCAGAACATAGCATGGTCACTGGTGCCAGAAGATTTATTTGGAATATTCCAGAAGGGAGCATAGTTTAAACCTCACAACCTACCTGAGTATAATTATTAACACTGTCCATCCCTTTATGACCACAGTCTACCTATCCTCCTATGGCTGCTTCCAGCAGAATAGTGTGTAACAAGGAATAACAGTATGTCACTGCATTCAAATGGCCTCTACAGTCACCAGATCTCAATCCAATAAAGCACCCTTGCGATGTGGTGGAACTAATTTGCATCACTGATGTGCAGCCTACAAATCTGCAGCAGTTATGTGAGGCTATCATGTCAATGCATAAAAATCTGTGAGGAATTTTTCATCACCTTGTTGAAACAATTAATGCATGACACTACCTAATAAAGTAGCTGTGAGTGTATTCAACAAACATTTTAAAACAAAACGGAAAAAAACTTTAAACACAGCAGAGCTTTCTTAACAGTCTTAACGGTCAAAAATCACTCTGCATTGTCTTTGCAATACTGCAGTCATCAACCCCAACCCTGACATTTCTATTATAATGCTACTATGGTATTCTCTTGAGGCTATCCTTCAGTAAATACTATAGACAAAAACCAGAGTTAAGCAGCTCTGAATAGAGGGATAATTGTTTGCAGAGTAGGAAGCTCCAACCATTTAACAATTGATGAGACAGAAATGTCTCAACAGAGAAGGAAAAGAAATGTGGGCTGATCTGAATCACTGGTGTGTCACAAAAAATGTGAT